GTGAAGGTATGTATACGATGGCCATTGTAAACAGATCCGTATAGCGCAAGGCCCCAAGCCCTCAAACAAACAGTCTGAAATCCGAAAGAATGAAATGTAGACCCCTCCAACCCTCAAATAGTACCGGTCTAAAATAGAAAGCACCTAAACTCTAAAGCAGGGTACTATACCCAGGGAACATCAGAGCTATTTATCTTTAAGGAGCCCCCATCCAGCATTCTCCTGAACAGCAGCAGATGCTGTAGCCACAGCCTGTCTAGCCGACGTCTTGCCTTCAGCAAGGTCGATAAGCCTTGGCTTATAATCTTTTATAGCTTGTGTTGGGCCTTGGGGTTTGGTGCTTCCGATTGAAATGGGGAAGCTTCTCAAATATAGCAGGATCGTAGCGAGTGAATCACAATGGAATGTTTGTGGAATCTACTCACTTCAGTTTTGTCTGCTGTGTGGTACAGCCAAGCCCTCTGCGAACAGGGTGTAGGGTCCATAGCGTCATGATCACAAGCCAGGATCCAAAGAACCCTAAACCCTACATTTTAAACACGGGCTTATATTGTTACCCACAGGGTCCAAGCACCCGATAATTAGGTACTTGCATTGGGTTTTGGATAATAGGGGTTATAGTACAAGTATATAAATTATTAGGTACTTGGACCCATAGGGTTATTATAATTTACAAGCGCAAGGTGCACACGTGTGGCCAACGTCGCATCATGGTTTGCTGGATTCTCAGCATCTGTCCCTGCGCAGGGCGGCGTAGGATCAAGAGGAGCCCTTTAGCCAATCGGATTGCAAGCATAAAGTTTCAGGACGCTCATCCGCACAGCGGTCGTCAACTTGGGTTCTCTGGGCAGTGTGTAATCACACTCGCGGGTTCTTTGAGCAGTGTGTAATCACACTCGCTTCGTCAAGACCAAAAACTGTAGCAGGCACACAGAGAGAGTATCAGGCCAGAGTAGGCAGAACCATTGATGCGCAGCTACTGAACTGCCTAGTACATTTCCACCCTCAACACAGAACTCTTCCTGCGCCTTCTACAGGACTCTAGGGTCACTCGGACGGTGTGCATCCGTTTGGAGCATCACTTCTTGTCCTTCTTAACCTTGCCGGATGTAGGAGCCGGCTTTTTCATGTTCTTGTTCTTCTTGATGACATCGCACTGATCTTTGCAAGTAGCAATTGCTTGCATCAGGTCCTGCATGAAGATTTTCAGGTTGCGCTTCCGAGCACACCACAGCAACTCATGTCGTGCAACACTTCTACGCCTGCAAATATCCTACAGTCCTTTGCAGAATCCTCATACTTCTGGATATCCTCTGCCGTTTTCTCCTCAACCCCTTCAAGGGCCGAAGCATTCGAATCCAAAGCTATCTGCAAGGCGTCCGCAGAAGGCTGGGCGTCTTCCAGCAGAGCTTGGCGGGTCCGGGCACCCCTGGGCGTAGACATGTAATTAAGGGTAGGGCTTGGGGCCATACCTACGAGGTCATGCAGGCGCTAGTAATAACCAACGGCTCATAATATGACGTCAGGTAGGGATCTGAGGGCTGAGGATCCAAGGAAAATCCTTATTGTATATGGTCTATTGCTGCAGGTGAGGGGCTGGCAAGTCTCCGGATCTGCTGTAGTATGATTTGTGTACAACCCTGGGATTGTGCCCAAACTGACCCTAGAAACCCTACAACACCCTAAACCAAAAACCTTAAATCCTCTCAAATCCTGATCAGTACTTTATATAAGTTTCTCAGGTGTAAATGACAGGCTTTCGCCTGTAAAGATTCATCCCACAGGAGGCCGACATATACACTCGTCCCCTTTCCATTCCTAGATCTAGATGATCTAGAAATTCTGAATTTAATTTGCATCCCAGAATCACACCGGCTTCGGCAAGCAGCTTCGCCCACTGATCGACCTCTTTCTGAATTTTCTTCGCCATGGTCACAGCCTGATTCAGATACAAGCAAGGTTTGGGGTTCGAACTTGTAGAGTACAGAGATGTAGAATGCAAGTCAATATATTGGAGCACCCAGAAATGGCAGGAAAACAAAATTAATAAACCGGTTTTTGAGGCCCTAAACTTCGAGCCCAAAATCTCCAGCACTAGACCTGTATGAGCCGGAAGACAAAATACAACCCCTCCAGCACAACATCGTAGAACCTGGCCCTTGAGCCCTTTCATCCCCCTGCAGCTGTAAGCCTCACAGCAACCCCGAGAGAGACAGAAAACAGGCCTGGCTCATCAACGCAGCCCTTGACTCCTGAACCCCTAAACCTTTGAAGCCTAAACTCCGTAACCCTAAACCCTTGAACCTTATACTTGTAAAGCGTAAATCCCTAAACCCTAAACCCTAATAATTCCAAACCCCGAATCCCTAAACTCTCGACAGCTTAACGGATCTGTTGGGTGGGAAATTTATTACCAGAAGCCATCACCACACAACCGAAATTCCTGAACACAGGTGTCACGTGAATCCTCAACCTTAAATCCCAAACCCTGGACCCCAAACCCTAAACCCTAAAACTGGAAGGGTTCCTGGCAAACAGGCTGCGTGCCTGCACCCACAGAGCCTTTCCGGTCTTGGGCTTGGCTTGCTTCTTGATTTTGGCGGTGGCAGCCAATTCCCCATCCATATCATCATTCTCCGCATCCCTGAATGAACGTACTATAGACAATATAAAGATAAACTTGCGCGATGAGGGGAGCATTACGGATTGGATGTAGAGGGAATTTGGTCTTATAGCATACCGCAAAGTTTGTTTGGGGGGTAAGTTGCGATAAGGTTATAAGGTTTGGAAGATAAACGTTCAAGTATTTTTGTTCGACTCACAGGCTTATCATAATACTACAAGACTAGCCCCAGCGAGGAGCAACAAACTTGGGGTTCAGTCAATATGATGATATCCGGGGGATGCTTGCCCACAGTCCCGCTACGTACAGTAATCTGCGATGGATGATATTTTTCAGGGTTTAGGGTATAGGGTTTAGACGTCAGGGTTTAGAGTTTAGCATTATCGAATAAATTTATGCAAGCAACAGGATATTCATGAAATCCTCCTCATTGATGTTGGCTTCTCCCTTGGCTTCGGCAGAGGTCTCTTGGGTCTTGGTGCGCCGGTCCTCGATCTTAGCGAAAGCACGATACAGCCAGAGGTCCTCACGCAGCGGGAAATCAGGATTCCTTATTTCCAACAACAATGATCACGATCACTAATCACACATGCCACTCACGTAAATGCAATCTTATACTACAATCGCGGCAAGGGGGCGCCCTGATAAATCTGCCTTTCTTCGCAGACGGAAGTCTCGACTCTGAATCTTTGTGCCGCGCAATCAAATCCAGGGCCAATTCCTCACTGCCAAGATGGACAATGAGCTGGTCCTTAGTAAACCACTGCCAAACCTGATCCTCGGTCAGGCTGTGCGCCTTGCGCACAGAAACCACAAGCGTGCACCTGTGCCATTCTCCTTTGCATTGGAGAAAATTGACATAGAGCTCAGTCATCTTGCACTTGTCCTGCTGTGCTTTGATCATCTCCTCCACCACTTCCTCGGGCATATCCTTTTGCTGCTTGTGGCCTTATTTCATGCGAAATGAGGCAAACTAAAACTTTGATATCTACATGCTATAATTAGTCATCCCAGCCACTCCGGATCTGCCTGTAAAACCGCTGGTACAGGGCCTTCGCGGAGAGGGGAACACCGTACTTGTCTGTCCTCTACTTCAACTCATGGGCGCCAGCAATCTGATCAGGCTTGGGGGCATCAGTAGCCTCGGAAGCTTTCACGTCATCCCCTCCGCCATGCCCTTCCTGGATGAGCTTCAAGTCAGCCTCCAGGGCCTTCTCCATGGAGGGGCCATTCTGCTTCACACCCTGGAGACCTTCCTCCGGGATCGCAGCCTGCGTAGCCTGCCTCGACAACAACTGCTCTTCCACAGGCACATCGTAGCACCTCCAGCTGTATGAGCGCACAGGGCGCCAATGATCCCTGTCATCATTCCTCCAATCCTGCCAATCCCATCCAGCGCCCCACCAGGACCACGATGAAGAATTCTGCCAGCCCTGCGAGTCTTCGGCCTGGTCAAACTCCATCTTCTTAGGCGTCACATTCGCGTTCATGCGCTTGAGCGGTGGGGAGCGGATGGGAGTCCTTAGCATAAAGTATGCTCCTACCACTGGATATAATAGTTACATGTAGGGTCTAGGGTTTTGCATTTGCGGTTTACTTATTCACATTATGAATTTCCCTCGCCCTCCCCCTTTCTCCTCTTGCCTGGCCTTTAAATCGTGTAGGGTCTCGGAAATTCTAGACAGGTAGGCTTAGGATTTTCTAGGGCACCCACCTGCCATAGGGACAGATTTCTGAGTAGTTATTAGTAAAGCGATATAATCATATAAGAATATAATACTATAATGAAATACATGTATAATAATAGCAAGAGTATATACTAGGTAAAGTATAATAGTATAACAATAACACTACTACTACTAC